AAACATATTAATTGTCTTTTTTTTTCAATCAATCATTTTTTTCTTCCTCTTTTTTCTATATATTTTTTTCTTTTCTTTCCTTTTATTTTTTTACCAAAAAAAAAAAAAAACTCTTAAAAAGTTAAACGATACGACTTTCTTTTTCTTTTCTCTTTTTAATCTTCAATCCCCCTTTGTTTAATACACATGTGAATAAAAAAAAAAAAAACGCTCATACAATTATGGCTCAAATTAAATAGGTGAAGACTCAATGACAGTTTGTATATTTGGAGAATCATTCATGTTCATACCTAGGGACATACTCATCGTAAATCATCAAAAAATGAGAATGAATGAATAGAATATCTGATCCGTGGACGTAGACAAATTACTAAACCACATAAAACCTCTTTGTTCTTTTTTCTTCTATTTTGTTATTTATTTTCTAGATGGTATCATAGCCAATTAAAATTCTATGGCCTTTATGAACAAATACCAGAGAATCATCTTCTCCACCCTCATTAATTTCTAAGGCTTCGTTTACTTCACGGATTCGAGTTTTCAATTCGAGTTGAGATGTGACATTTTCAGAGAGCTTTTCACTGTAGCAGAAAAAGTTAGATGTGACATTTTCTGAGAATTTTTTCCTGTAGAAACCTAAAACTGAAAACTCAAATCGGTGAAATGAACGAGGTCTAAATCTCTAGAAATTCTTTGAATCCAAACTAAGAACACAATCTGCTTGCTCGCCATGATTGTTTGCCAGAGACTAGCACTGTCATTCCTTTCGCCGTCCTTCCTGTCGCCAGCCCCATCTCTAGAAAAGTGTTGTTTTAAAGTTGAAGTTTGGTTCTATGGATATATCTTTTTATTGAATTGAAAAAAAAGAGAGTGAAGAAGTATTCAATTGTATTGCCTATTGAAGAGGCAAAAAAAAAAAAAACAAAAGAAATTTTTTTTTTATTAAAGCCTGTGCTGTGAAGCTCACGTTTATTTGAGCCTGGCATGTGAATGTTCTGAAATTGAAGCCTGTGCTGTGAAGCTCATTTGAATTGGAGTATGGCATGTGAAGCTTCTGGAAATCAATCTACTGTGAAACTCATGCAAACTTGAGTCTAGCGTGTGATATTTCTAAAGTTGTTCTTAAAAGTTTGAAGGTAAGTTGGTATGCACTAACTTGAGGAGGAGTATTGATATTTGTTAATTATTTTGATTGATTTATAATTATTTGATGATTTGTCTATTAATTGTCATTCAGTGTAATTAAGGAAATTTAAGAGAGAAATTTGCTAGAATGACAATCCAACAACGTGATATTGGCAACATGACTTTCTTTATTTTTTATGAAAAACAACTGGGTGGTTGTTTTTTGTGAAAAGTGGTCGATCTGTAGTTATTTTAGAAATAAAAATTTTTAAAAAGTAATTTTATTAGGACCCGTTTAGTTCGTTGATTCAAGTTTTTAATTCGAGTTGAGATGTGACTTTATGTGAGAGCTTTTTATTGTAGTAAAAAAATTAAATGTGATTATTTCTGAAAGTTTTTTACTATAACAAAACTCAAATTCTAAACTCGAATTGATGAAATGAACGGTGTTTAATAAAACTTTCCTATTGAGTCATTTTTACAAAAGCCTCAATATAAGAAACTTATCAAATTGGGGAAAATTATCAGTCAATGATAGTCTGTATATTTGGTGAATTATTTCTATTTATACCTAAGTAAATACTTATTATAAATCATCAAGAATGAATAAAATATTTGATCCGTGAACGTAGGCGAATTACCAAACTGCGTAAAACATTTTTGTTTTTTTTTGTTCTATTTTGTTATTTATTTTCTAGAATTCGTATTCTAGCAAATTACTACACAAGCCTTCACAGATGTTAAAATCAAACTGTATATATGCAAATTTTTAGAGTCAGACGACTTAAACATTCACTAATCGCTGCCATATTTTTCTTTTAGGTACTCTTGGAAAAATCTGCCTGTTATTTGTTCAATGTCATCAAAAGAGAGACAGAAAAGTGATATATTTTAGCAAGGTTCATGCACTTGTTACAAACCGAAGTCATTTGTCAAAAAAAAAAAAAAAGCAAAAAAAGAAAAAAGAAAAAAAAGAGGTTGGAAAATATTGTGGATCATGGTGTCAGTTTTGGTCAGGGAAAAGGAGGGCCTCGCCGTCCCACCAGCATGTTTTGGCATAAATATAAAAAACAAAATCACGAATTATTCTAATGGAAACGTCATGTTTAAGCTGTATATGGAATATTAATTGCTAAGAAAAGCAACAATTGGCAGGCTGGTTCAGCCGGAGATTACTGTCGTTTCAGGCCACTTTCTTCTTTAATTTTAACGTAAGATCTCCTTTTAATTTGTGTCGGAACTCGGAAATGCGCCTAAACCGCGTGGAGACCACGTTTATTCTTCATGTTGACAACTTTGCTTGCTTGTCCAATGTGTATATTTGTACGGTACCTTACTCCTTGTGGTTTCAAGCTACTTTGAATTGGTTCTGTGGCCGAACAATTCAAACAAACATCAAACGTCATTCACATAAGTCAGACGACTCAGAACAAGGGTAAACCAGACCTGTTTTTGGTTGACACACGGGCAGCTTAGGGTGTTTTTTTTTTTTTTTTTTTTTTTATAATTTGAGTTAGGGTAACTTAAGTTCAGATCTTAATTTGAGTTAAAAGTTGAGTTTAAATTAAAATTATAACTTGAATTTGTATTTAAATGTGTACTTTTAAATTAAGATTTGAATTGAGAATCTAATTTGAATATGTGTTTGGTATATCAAAATTTGAGTTATGAATAGTAAAAATTGAATATGATGTAATTATTTTTGTTTAGAATTTGTTATTAAAATAAGAGAATGTAATTTTTGTCAACAATTGCAACTGAACCCGAAAGGGGGCAAGTATAAACTTGAGTCTTCACTCGAGTTCCCTGCCAAACACAGACTCGGGCCAAGTTCTTTACTTAAGTGGCCCTTTTTTGAGTTTTTGGGTGTAAACGAATAGGTTCATTGAGCACCCTTACGTGTCTCATGAGAATTTATCCCTATAAACACAAAAATGAGCCTCATTTATAGGGTCCACGTGAGTCTCACTATGTGAGGCCCACCTCTTTGGTCTATAAAGATAAACCCTTGTAAGGACACAAAATGTCTTTTCCTAATTCGTCGAACAATATTATAAAGTATCGATAGTACTAAACACTCATACTAATAAAAGGTAGATCTCATAAGATGAGGCTCATTTTCTATTAATAAATTGTGTTTAGCATCAATGGTGTCCCAAATATTTTTCTAATTTATCCGCCTATCAATTTTTGGTATTTTTGTCTATATAACCACGTCATAAGTTTGAGTTATGAAACTGGTTGTGATATATGGTAAGCACCTAAAACCATGCCATTACATTGAACATGTGTAATTTTGATATAGGGATTGTTAGCTTTGGTATTGTCGAGATTATTGGAATATTTTTATATGGACTCATAATCATAATAATTTACTATATTATAGATTAAATCATGTTATAGATAATTGTATTAATGTGAATTAATTAACACATGTATGTTAAATGTCGGGCTATAAAGTGATGAATACTCATTTTTTTAACTAGTTTGAAGCTCATGAACTGCCTCTCTTGTAAGTAATGTGGTTAGTCCATTAGGTCAAAAAACCTATTTAGCACAATTTAAAAAGGGGCTTTAAAGGGAATTGACACAAGTTTTAGGCTTAGATTGACATATGCCAGGAGACATAAATTATTGCAGAGAATACCACAACCACATCATCATATTATATTTAGAAGACCAAATATACCCTTAGGATATTGTTTGGTATCTGACCACGATACCAGTATCCAACCAAGATACTTGCTGGTATCCGACAGACAACTGCCAGTATTGGTGGTAGTAATCAACGGACAACTATCGGTAACCGGTGACCGCTGTGATACCGGCCGGCGACCAATCGGTAACCTCCAGTATCCACCTAGATACCCGTATTCGTCAATGATACCGGTGGGTATCCAAGACGATACCGACAAAAAACTGTCAATTCCTGACGGCACCACGATACTAATATCCGACCTAAATACTGGCTTGTATCCAGCCATTATACCAGTTGGTATCCACCGGAAAACACCAGTACCAAGGTCACTTAAATGATAAAGAAAAACCTAAAAAAATCATAAAACAAATCCAGCAATCCACAATCTGGAAAACAAAAGCACAAAAACTTAATAAAATTTCAACAGATTGCATAATTTAAAAAGGAAAAAAAAAAAAAAAAACACAACTACACAATCTCTCTTCCTCTCTTTCTTTGTAGATCTGCAAAAAGATAAACCCAATATTAGCACAGAAAAGTCAGAAACTTATGAAGCAATAAGAGTTCCCCCTCTCTTATCAAGTAAACTTCACAAATATCACCCTATGAACACAAATTAACAGCTCAATAACTTCAAACCAATAGTTTGGTATTCTCACAAAGCAAGTCAGTAACTATAAACATGGATAGCACATAGAAGTGGAGCCCTTGAGTATTATGGATGGAAATGATATAGTAATTATCATAATAATGTCACATTTTATACTATATAATGCTATAATAATTATTTTAATGATATCAAATTTGATTATTCTTGTAATATTTTAAAAATTTTACTATATTTGAACTTTATTATTTGTTAAGATTAAAAGAGAATGTTGTTGCACTTATTTTAGAGTGCATAAATTTGAATTTTTATATTTTATTTTTTATTAATATCTTTAACTAATATAATTATTTGATTAAAAAGAATATTAATTAAGACTAAGCTGTAATTAAGAATAAAAAAAAACTACGAACTCTAAGGTTGTCTTCTTTCCTATCCAAACGGGCCCAACCTTTCTTCTAGAAAGCCCGCAATATGGGCCGAAAATGTAAGCCCACGTTTACCGAACATAGACAAGCCCGTCCCCAACTATGCCTTTTTCATCATAATTTCTGCAGAAGATAAGCACAGAGAGTCTCTTCAGGAGCTCCTTCCTCAAAGCCCTAATCCGAACCCTAACACTTCAAAATAATACGGATTCTTGTCGTCTAAATCTGAGCTGCTTTATCACCGCCCTTTTGCGCATGGCGCTTCTTGGGTCTAGCTTCTGTTGTAATGTGAGTTCTGCTTTTCTTTTTGTGCTCATTTATTTCCTTTATGGGTCTCTGATTGTGTTTGAAATCCAAATCAAGCTCAAAATGTCGTTTACTTGTTGTAAATGCATGTATTTTTGTTTTTGTTTTTGTTGTTTTTGGCTTTTAATGAGGATATTGTTATCATAATTCCACCTATTAATTTATGATTGCCAGAGTTGGATAAACTTTCCCTTTATTGGGTTAAAGATTTTCTAAACTAATAGTAAATTGCAAGATGAATACAAATTTAAGATCTACCACATGAATAAATTTGCCTTTTTTTTATCTTTTTTCAACTTTTAATTTATTGGTATGACTTTTGACATTTATTCCCAGGGAAGTGTCTCTCCCATGGCGCTGACCGGCCTGCCGTGTTTAGGCATTCGGAGTTTATGTTCAACACTTTGTCTTTCTTCATATTCTGTTAAACAACCCAATTATGGCAAACGACATAAGACCCAGCTTTTGCCTTGGCATTGTCAACTAAACATGCACACTGGAAGATGCAGCAAGTCTTTTTTTCTTGCCATTCCATGCTTCTCCCATTTTTTTTAATTATATATATATGTCTATATGTATATATCTATGCTGTCTCTGCTTTCAAACTTTTAGCATAATTTCTGCTCAGTATGATGTTAATCATAAGTCATAGCCTCGAGTCTTCCGACCCTCAATTTTATTGTTCATTTTTTTCCCCTTCCTCACTTTCCCCAATTTTCGTTTGATATTCCAGTTTTGAACACTTCTAATTATATATTCTTCAGTGCAGCAACCTTCATTCATACTTCACGATCATCGGGACGATGTCGAGCAAAAGGCGAGGACTTAGAAGGTAGCTTAACTGGTGAAAGCATAATTTATTATGCAGAAACTTTGGAGCGGGACCTGCATACTGCCATTGCAGAGGAGAATTACGCCAAAGCAGCACAAATTAGGGATAGCCTCAAACTTCTCAAGGAGGACAGAAAAACTTCTCTATTGGCAGCAAACGCTCGATTTTACAACGTGTTCAGGATCGGCGATCTTGCTACAATGCAAACCCTTTGGGCGAAAGGTAATGAGGTTTGTTGCGTGCATCCTGGAGCGAGGGGAATAACTGGTTATGACGATGTTATCACTAGCTGGGAGTATGTTTGGGCAAACTACGAATTTCCTCTTGATATTGAACTAAAAGATGTTAAAGTTCATGTTAGAGGGGATGTAGGATATGTTACCTGTGTGGAATTGGTTAAGACAAAGGGTAGCAGTTGGGGGGGACAGTTTGTGACAAACGTGTTTGAGAGGATTGATGGTCAATGGCTAATCTGTATCCACCACGCTTCACCTATTGACTTGTGAAGTTTTTATATTTTGTCGATTATGATAGATTTTATCTTCTATTTATTAGGAATAATTATTAGGAGTCTTATCTTTTAATAAGAGATTTAAATTAATATTCAAATCTTATAGCTTATCTTATTAGTTTATCTTATCCTTTAGAAGGGAAATTAGTTTCCTAGTTTATGGCTTATCAGTAGCTTTCCTTACTTCCTATATATATTCACGTGTACTCTTTAATAAAATAAATAACATTGATTATTCTTCTCACGTGTACTCTTTAATAAAATAAATAACATTGATTATTCTTCTCAAAACTGTTATGGTATCAGAACCAGGTTCAAAACCTAAACCTCCCTATGGATTACAAAATAGCGATGACTGGAAGGAATACCTCCTCCGGCGGTGACTCATCCTCTAAAAGGACCCAATTGGAATCCACAGTATCAGCCAGCAAAGTAGAGCACCTATCTTTAAACTTTTCCCTCCAATTGACTGTCCATGAACGGCAGTAATTATTTAGAGTGGGTTCAGTCTGTTAAACTGGCCATTGACGGCAGAGGAAAACTTGGCTATTTAACCGGTGAAGTGAAGCAAGGGGATCCGAACCTGAAAACATGGAGGTCAAAGAACTCCTTGATGATTGCGTGGCTCATCAATTCCATGGAACCAGCCATTGGAATGCCACATCTATTCCTACCCACAACCAAAGACGTCTGGAAAGTAGTCCGTGACATATATTCGGATGTGGAAAATTCATCCCAAATTTTTGAATTAAAAACGAAGCTTTAGAAGTCCAGACAAGGAGACTGTGGTGTTACATCTCATTATAATGACATTGTGTCACTTTGGCAGGAATTGGATCTTTGCTATGAAGATTGAATGGGACTGTCCAACTGACAGTGTTCGCCATAAGAAAAGAGAGAAGAATGATCGAGTATATGTGTTTCTTGCAGGTCTTAATCAGGAATTAGATGAGGTACGAGGCCGAATCCTAGGAAGGAAACCACTGCCTTCCATCAGGGAAGTTTTCTCTGAAGTAAGAAGAGAGGAAACTAGGCGCAAAGTAATGCTGAAGACTTTTGAACCTAAAAATAGTCCCGAGGTTGAGAGTTTGGCTTTAGTGTCAAAAGGAAGTGACTCAGATGGAGAAAAGAAGAGGAAGCCCTGGTGTGACCGTTGCAAAAAATGTGGCATACCAAAGAGACTTGCTTGGAAACTCCATGGGAAACCACCTCAGAGTCAAAAGAGGAGAAACAAAGGAGAAAATAGAGCCTTACAAACCGTGAATGAAGACTCTCAAGGGCAGCAAATCACCTTAGAGGTATCTCCCTTCACCAAGGAACAACTAAACCACCTGTATAAGCTATTTTAATCTCCACAGTTTTCAGTAAACTCTTCTTGCTCTTTGGCTCAAAAGGGTAACTATCTTACCGTAGCCTTTTCTTGTGAAAAATTTAATCCATCTCATTCATGGATTATTGACTCAGGTGCAACCGATCATATGACCGGTTCTTCAAAATTATTTTCATCGTATAACCCTTGTGCAGGCAATAAGAAAATTAAAATTGCAGATGGGTCATTGTCAGTAATAGCTGGAACATGTTCAATTGTTATCTCTCATTCTCTTATCCTCCAAAATGTTCTTCATGTTCATATTCTCTCATGCAACTTATTGTCCATTAGTAAAATAACTAGTAACCTTAAGTGTCAAGTTAACTTCTTTCAATCTTATTGTGAGTTTCAGGAACTAGAGAAATTGGAGGACTTTATTTCTTTGAAAATGGACCAAGTTCAAAAAGGCCAGTACAAAGTACATGTTATGGAACTGTCTCTATTACTAGTGATGAAGAAATAATGTTATGGCACTATAAACTAGATCATCCAAATTTTTATTATTTAAAAAATTATTTCCAGTTTTGTTTAGAAATAAAAATTCATCTTTGTTTCAATGTGAAGTATGTGAATTGGCTAAGCATCATCGTTCTACTTTTCCCTTACAACCCTATCAACTCTCAATTTCAAACAAAGATTCAAATTTTACACTAGAGTAAGCTGGGTATATTTGTTGAGAGATAAATTTGAAGTTGAAAATGTGTTTAAAAATTTTTATTCCATGGTTTTAACTCAATTTCAAATAAAGATTCAAATTTTACAAACGGATAATGGGAAAGAATATTTCAATAAAATTTTAGGATCTTTTTTCTTGAAAAAATGTATTGTTCATCAGAGTTCTTGTAATGATACTCCTCAACAGAATGGTGTGGTTGAACGAAAAAACCAACACCTTTTAGAAGTTGCAAGGGCCGTACTATTTAAAAATAATGTCCCTAAGTATCTTTGGGGGGAAGCCATTTTAACAGTCACTTATTTAATAAATCAGATGCCTTCTAGGGTTCTACGTTTTCAAACACCATTAAATATTTTCGAAACTAATTACCCTACATCCAGACTTACCTCTACACTCCCTTTGAAAATCTTTGGATGTATTACACATAATCATGAGCATAATCGAGGGAAACTTGATCTTAGAGCTAGAAAATGTGTCTTTGTGGGATATGCCCTGACTCAAAAAGGATATAAATGCTATGATCCTATTTCCAAAAAAATGTTTATCACCATGGATGTAACCTTTTTTGAATATAAATCTTTCTTTGAATACCATCTTCAGGAGGGGAGAAAAGGGAAGAGGAGGATGATGATACTCTTGATGTTTTTCAAATAAACCCGGATTCAAACTTGAATTTAGAAACCACTGTTACAAAATCTGGTACAAATCCGGATGAGGAAAATCAGACTTTAGAATCCGAATTTGTACCAGAATTTTCTGACCAAGACTAGGTTGTACATGAAACAAGGGCTGAAAATATTTCGGACCGGACATCCTTAGTGCCATCACCCAAATTAAATCTCACTGGTGAAAAGAATGGGACCAAAACAGGTACCAATATACTGACCTTTTCAAGGAGAAAATCTTCAAAGGAAAAAGGTCCTATCTCTTTACACAACCATGAATCCGAACCAAGGGAGGAACCTAAACAGTCCGAAATTCCAGGTAACAATCAAACTGAGTTCGTCCCAAAAGTTCAATCTAATCCGTAATGATCTTGATGTCCCTATTGCTGCCCGGAAGGGCATTCGTTCTTGCACTAGGCACCCCATGTCTAACTATATTTTCTATGAAAAGTTGTCTCCTAATTTCTTAGCCTTTACTTCACAACTTTCTTCTGTGGAAATTCTAAAAAGTGTACGGGAAGCTTTATAGGTTCCCGAGTGGAGGAAGGCTGTCTATGAGGAGATGAGGGCCCTAGAGAAGAATCAAACATGGGAAGTGACGGATCTGCCACGAGGAAAAAGGATTGTGGGCTGCAAGTGGGTCTTTACAGTCAAATATAACTCGGATGGAACTCTTGAATGATACAAGGCTCGCTTGGTGGCCAAAGGTTTTACACAAACCTATGGCATTGGCTATCTTGAGACCTTTGCCCCAGTAGCCAAATTAAATACAGTGAGAGTACTTCTCTCAATTGCAGCAAACCTTGATTGGCCTCTTCAACAGTTAGATGTAAAGAATGCGTACCTGAATGTAGACTTGGAGGAAGAAGTGTACATGGCCTCTCCACCTAGGTTTGAAGAGAAGTTTGACTCCAAAGTTTGCAAACTAAAAAAGTCCTTATATGGGCTCAAGCAATCTCCGAGGACCTGGTTTGAAAAATTTACCCATTCAGTGAAAAATTAGGGATATGGCCAAGCTCAGAGTGATCACACTATGTTCATGAAACACTCCAAGGATGGTAAAGTGGCGGTCTTAATAGTGTATGTAGATGATATTATTCTCACTAATAATGATGTCACAGAGATAGAGCAGTTAAAGAGAAGATTAGCCTCAGAATTTGAGATCAAAGACTTGGGAACCCTGAAATACTTTCTAGGAATGGAGGTTGCAAGATCAAGAAAAGGGATTGCTGTCTCGCAAAGAAAATATGTGCTAGATCTTCTCAAAGAGACTGGGATGAGCGAATGCAAGCCTGCAGATACTCCCATAGATCCGAACCAAAAATTAGGTGATTGCAAGGATGGAGCACCGGTTGACACAACTTGGTACCTGAAGTTAGTGCGAAAGCTGTTTTATTTATCCCACACCCGACCTGACATAGCCTTTGCAGTAAGTGTTGTGAGTCAATTTATACACTCTCCTTGTAAAGAGCATTTTGAAGGAGTATATCGAATTTTAAGATACCTTAAAGGTACACTGAGAAAAGGATTGTTGTTTAAGAAAGGCGAAGAAAAGACTATTGAGGTTTACACTGATGCAGACTGGGCAGGTTCCATTACAGATAGAAGGTCTACATCCGATTGTTGCACTTTTGTATGGGGCAATTTGGTTACATGGAGGAGCAAAAAGCAGAATGTAGTTGCCCGGAGTAGCGCAGAAGCCGAATACCGAGCCATGGCACATGGAGTATGTGAGCTATTGTGGGTCAAGCGGATTCTTGACGAACTTAGAAGACCAGTTGAGATGCCAATGAAGTTGTATTGCGACAACAAAGCTGCAATTAGTATTGCTCACAATCCTGTGCAGCATGATCGAACCAAGCATGTTGTGATCGATCGTCATTTTATAAAGGAGAAGCTAGAAGTTGGAACTATCTGTATGCCATTTGTTCCTTCAAGGCAACAAATAGCTGATATTCTTACCAAGGGACTCTTCAGACCGAACTTCGAGTTTCTCACAAGCAAGTTGGGCATGTTGAACATCTATGCACCAACTTGAAGAGGGGCATCGATTATGATAGATTTTATCTTCTATTTATTAAGGATAATTATTAGGAATGCTATCTAATAAGAGCTTTGAATTAATATTCAAATCTTATAGCTTATCTTATTAGTTTATCTTATCATTTAGAAGGGATAATTAGTTTCTTAGTTTATGATTTATCAGTAACTTTCCTTACTTCCTATATATATTCACGTGTACTCTTTAATAAAATAAGCAACATTGATTATTCTTCTCAAAATTGTTATATTTCAATGCATATATGATATGAACCTCACAAAGAAAGGATCGTTCTAACTTAGGATTCGTTTAGTTCGCTGATTAGAGTTGAGATGCGACTTTATGTTAGAGTTTTTTACTGTAGTAAAAAAGTTAAATGTGGCTATTTCCGAGAGTTTTTTACTGTAGCAAAACTTGAATTCTAAACTCGAACCGGTGAAATAAACGGGGCCTCAGATTCTCAACATAGAAAACGAAACAAAGACCTTGACCCGTTATCTATTAAAGAGATAAGAATCAAAAGTATAAGAATTAGGATAGATGCCACACTCAAGAAAAAAAAGAAGAATTTGTGAGTGATAAGTTTAAATTGAACGCCAAAGGAAGCATTGATAAGTCCACAGAATAGTTGTTTGAAGAACTAACGAGAAAAAACTCTCAATAATATTATTTCATTCATAAAAAGTTGTCTTTCTTGGGGGCATACACGCCTATATAAATAGGTTGAAACAAAAATATAAAGGCGGCTAGCCTTTCACGCCCATAAACATTAAAGAAAAAAAAAAAGGAAACAATCTTATGGTAATTAATGCCTAACAATCAGGAAATTAAATGGCCTATAATCAGGGAAGTAAATAAAGACTTTAAATGGTTATTAGCTGTCTTGGAAAATAGGCAAGTTATTTGCCATTTATTAGAATGTAATCTGTTCCTTATTTGGAATGCTGAAAATAAGAAATCAACATGTATGCATGTGCCACGTCCAAGACTCTATTCAGCCCCTTCAATTGCACGTCCAAGACTTCTATGCAGTCCCTTCAATTGCCTTGATGACATTGACTACGACTTGATCATCATTTGGACGCATCTTGGACTTCACCTTTTTAGAATCAGTCCAAAGTTCTTGAATCAACCCATTGAGTGTTTCTTTAAATCTCTTGATCCTTGCCCTTGTAATTGGCCCAACTGGTACCTACAATAGTTCCTTTGGTGCTGCTACTATATTCTCATCAGTATAGTGTACGACTTTCTCGAGGTAATGTTTGGTTTCATTGTATTTCTCAGTTAATTAGGTTCTATTTTTCACTGCCTTTTGAATCTGCTTTATTTGTGCCTTTTTGTTTTGCTCTTTACCTCTCTTGCTCGGGGGATTGAGGACGTATTTCAATGATTTCTTGCTAACGTCTAACGTCTTTTGCTTCAATCAAGGGATTAATTTTCTAATTTATCTGAGGTCGTCCTCTGCATTATGAACCCGAGAAGCACGTCCCATTACACTGTTATCGCGAGCGCTGTCGTTTTGGAGTTTTGGAAAGTTCTTCAGTGGCAGTCGTTCCCGGAGCAACGTCATTTTGGGTCTGGACGGAGAGTTGGATTTGGAAGCCGGCATCAGCGAGCTCTTTTGGTGGGTTTCAGGGGGCATGAGTTTGTAAGTACGCTATGTTTGCAAAAGTTAGTGCATCCCTTGTTGATATGTGGACGTAGGTGGACCATATAATTTGTTTCCTTGTCTACATAAACATTCCAACAATTGGAGAGAAACGAGACAGTTATTTGGTCATGTTTGCAACTGTCCTATCAAAACTGTATTATCTAGATAGTTGCAAACATGACCAAATAATTTGCTTTGTTGTCATTTCTTTTTTTCCCCCCTAAACAGTAAAAGTTGAGCTTTTTTGCTATGAACAATAAATGTTGTGCTTAGTTAATAGTTATAGTGTTACTTTGCACCTTTTTTCCCCTTCTTCTGCTTTTTTTTAAAAATTATTTAATCCCTGGAAAAGAAAGGTGTCTGCTTGGCTGATCTTGACTTGTCATATTAAGCACTTAAGAGCCGAAAATGGAAGTAATGCTACAATTATTGGATCAATCTCAAAGGACAATCAGATGCTGCTTTAGCTTTATCAGTGTAATGGGATGGAGAAATGGTGGCATTTGGTAAATTTTCCCGGTTCTATTCGATTAGTTGCATTCGTGATAGAAATGCAGGGAAAAGAGCAAATTTACAATTCAACTGTCTTGGTAAGTATTAACTAATAGATAATGCAGTTATTTAATGTACTTCACAATGCTTACATGGTCGATTGCCGACTCATCATGACCTAAAGACTGCAAGTTTGAATTCTGTCCCACCTAATCAGTGGAACATTGTTCACCGAGATAAAAGGCTGTCATTTCATGAAGATAGACACTGGCTTGGGGTCGGGGCGCCTATCCGGCATATAATCAGTACAAGCGGTATAAAAGATTATTACTATGAAAAATCATTCCACCGTATTCTCAGCTCTACTATGATTAGTGCCTCTAAACTTGCGGAGTTTTTAACACTCTCAGAGGATCCGCCTGGGACTCCACCGATTGAGAGCGGTCTATCTCTTTTAAGATTTCTCTTTCTTTCTATCTCTGTCTGTGGTGGTAAAAATCTGTGTTTGTGGAATTATTTTAGTTCTCTCGCACTTGTTAAGGGTTCTCATTCCTGAAGAAAGTCTTTTTTTTTTCTTTTTTTCTTTTTTAAATTTTATTTCATTATGCGCTCTCTTTTGCGTTGGCATTATTCAGTCTTCCTGAGTGTAAAAGAAGGGATATTGGCGATTTTATACCATGTATTTTGAGTTAGTAATCCTCAATTTTGAATGCTCTCAAAATTGTACATTCAAAATTTAAGTTCATGTCAGATTCGTATCTTTTTTAGATCAATAACTGATTTATTTGTATCTTTAAATTGATGAATTTACCCTTTCCAGCTTATAAACCTGCAATAAATTACTAATTGGTAAATTTACCCTTCGCGGCTTAGCTTGATATTTATGAATTTATCTTTCCAGCTTATGTTTAAATTGATTTTTTTTCTTTGTTCTTAAATGTTACGCTTGATTGATTTTTTGTTATAAGACCATTTAAGGTGTCAATTTAGAGGTTAAAGCCTTGAAAAAGGCAAAATTTGACATGAATTTGAAAATTAAAGATAAAATATTAAGAACATCCAAAATGTAGGGTTATTTTTCTTAATAAACTCAATATGCAATATTTTTTTTTTAAAAAAGAGTAATCATTAAAAAAGTGAATATTTGTCCAACTATCAATCTCCCCTTAAAAAAAAAAAAAAAAAAAAAAAATTCTCGCCTTTATTTTCGACCTGAGCCTCTACTAATGTGAAAGTTATCAATCACGAAAAGTTTTGGAGAAAAATAGTAAAGAGTGCCCTTCAAGGATAGCAAAATTTTTAGCAAAATTACTTAAAAAAAGTTACATAAGAGTTTTTCACTCGATCAAATCGACCATATTGAATAAGGTACACTCTTTTGTAAAAACAAATGGGAGAAAAGGAATCTACAATAGTAAACGTAACAAATATATAAAATGACTCATTTTTATGGTAGAAATATGTAAAATGACAAATGAAGAGTAAAACATGCATACATTATAGTATACAAACAAAAAAGCGAAAAGGCAAAGCTAGTGATAGTTCCAATACTCTTTACAGTTCCAATACTCTTTACAAGGGGCATACAATCCTGAAACTTCACGTGTTGATCTGTAACTATATTGGACAAATGGAATTGCACTCACAAATATTCACAAACGTGTCAGAAGGCCAAAATATTCAATAAGATATTACAAGGGAAAACTCAAGATAAAAGCACTATTAGATACAGAAACTTATCAAGCAATAATAGTTTCACTTCTCTTATTAACCTTCACATATATCATCCTATGGACATAAATAAACAACGCAATAACTTCAACCAATAAATAGCTTGGTACTCTCACAAAGCAGGCCCAGACCAGAACTATGAACATTGATAGCACGGAAAAGTGAGCCCTTGAGTCTTGCAGATAGAATCTGCCAAATTAAAACTTCAACCATTCTAAGCAAGGACATAGACCCCAGCAAAATCTTGAGGGATAGTAGTCCTTTAAGTATACCTCTCTGTCATTTCCGATTATATAAAAACTGAAGGATCGGCCACGGTGAGCCATGGTAACTCGTATCACCGGCACAACAGAGATGGTATGCCTCTCGCATATGACCCTTGCACTGGGAGGGACAGAGGCTCTGTCTGCAATAACTTCAGAAGAAAATTTGTTGAGGAAGAAAGAGTCTGCAAAGAAGGCTGGAGTGCACTGGTATGCCTGAGTGTTGCATAACTGGACACCTTTGGCTCTATGGAAAACTTCATCAGGAACTGATGCTGCTCCGCTGGTTCCACTGACCTTCCGGGTTGATACCGTCTTCCTGTGAGACAATGGATCAGTTTATTTTGGTGGACCCAGAGTAGAAATGAGAAGGTTGGAGTACATGAAAACAATTTAGTAATTGCCCACAAGCCAAGGATAATAAGTTAACTGGTCCTTCAAAGTCGCTTAAAAGTATCAGAAACATGTATAATTAGGTATCAAGGGCGTGGTTGGCGCAAAAGAAAGACAGCAAGAGCATGCTCACATTTATAGGCACGACATAAGGTCATAAATACATACCATTTAACAATGCAAATACTACGAGTAACAAGAGACCCGCTCCCACGACATGTCTCGCATTTAATAAGACCGCGGGATCCACAAGCTGCACAAGGAATGCTCCCCTTAGCATCACATTTCACGCATCTGCACGGACAAGGAACCTGATTCTTTCAATTTCAGCCAAAAAATGTAAAAGAAAAAAGAAAATGACTTTAAAAGCACCCACAAGTATCTATTAAATTAGAGTGGTAGCTATCCCATTCTAACATCAACGGTTAGTCTATTACAAGTTACATCTGATTTCTGACTACATATAGTGTTTAGCAGTCAATATCAGTTTTCAATTAAAATCATCTGGAGTTCAAAAGAGATCAAGTTTTGAGTGTTCAAAGGTGGTTCGGAAATTCTTATGTTGGAAAAGAAGGGATAGGAACTTATAAAATGTAGTAGTTCAGAATGTGTTACATACGTTGTATCTGAACCGTCTCTATGAGCAATTAATCCCCTTCCATAACAAGTAGGGCACTGAATCATCTGGTTTTCCTTATGGAATCCAGGTTCTTGATTCACATTGCATGTACTGCACACAATTCCTCCCCGTCCAGCGCAACCTACAGTTTTTTTTTTCACATTTATGTTAGACTAGAACGCAACAAGAACGGTGCATTTATATAAATTACAGGGACTTTACTGACTTCAAAGTACTAACATAACATATTCCATGCTTAAACACATTACTTAAAGTAACCACAGTAGTCGAAAGAATACCAATTCTAGGAACCAATAGTTCTTTAATCTATCCCATTTGATCCCAATTTATAAAAGAAAAAGAAAGGCCCTGCTTCACTCATCGGCCATCGCCACCCATAAATATTGATTCCCAGAATCTCACCTGAGCATTTCTCAATAATTTCAGAATGAGGAATTTTAGCTCTTGATTCCTGATAAGGTACAAATAAAACAGGGAACTGAGATCTTAGATCCAGTTCCCAGATTCCAAGTTCAGGTCCCTTGTCTTTTCCATCAATATTGCCACCAAGGTATGGTTTTGTTTCTTTTATAGTGTCCCTTTCCTCTATGAAAGTATCTAGAGTTCCAACATAGACATTGCAATCTTCCACTGTGTGAATGTTCCACGTCCGAGCTGGACGACTTCCCCAACAGCAGCGATGCCCAACATGATCAATGAGCAACTCTCGTATCTCCACCTCGTCTAAAATTTGCCTACACACAATCTTTCTGTTAGGAGAAAGAAGGATCCAGTTCTCACAGAACTGTTGAACGTTAAATTGGAAACTTGATTCCTGAGTTAGACAAAAAAAGAAACATAGCTTATAGAGGGAGAGCCATAATCATGACCAAACAAAGACTTCTGTGGCACACATTGATTTAGAGTTGAATGATCCAACAACAGCAACAAATACCTGTTCTAGATCTCTTCATAAACTGCTTTATGCCACTTTGTGTCTTTAGATATCATAGTCCTAACCATCTTATTTACTAGAAAAGCTAACTAACCTATTCCATGAAAAAATCCTAACAGTTTGCAATTTTCTAGCATGTACAAGTATCCTTTTGGTAGTAAAAAGCTCTACTTGCTTCCTGCCTTGCTCTATCAGAATGATTGTTTGAATGGAATTTAGGCTTTATCTATTTGACACAAATACATTTATACTTGACAGGTTCCGGAATATATAACAGGATGAGAAACAAAAAAATTCTCATTTTCAAGTGATACAAATGCCTCAATGAAAAAATTGGTGAAATGCATGCATACTGCTTCCATGGAAGTGGCAGTAAAACATATGGTTGTTATACTGAAAATAATTTAGGATTCTCCAAATTGATGAAGATAAGCTTTTTCCTCCAAAGTAAGCAAGAGCTATGTTTGTTACTCCAAAATTTCACATGAACCATACAGTTTGGGCCAGTTTGGCATTGTTATTCTGTTGACAATTTTTACTGTTGCTGTGCTGTTAGTAATAAGTTGTTGTGGCCAGAATCATATAGGTGTTTGGTAAATATTTTTACAAAGCTGATGTGAGTACCAGGAGCAAAGATTTAAGTGTTTGGTAAATTGTGTATGGAATTGCTGTTGAAATGTATAAGGACGAAAGTAGACATACTTTATCATACATGTTTATCGTTAGTTTTATTTCTATTTTTATGTTCAATATTCATAATCTAAAAAATATTTCAAATTTTATTAGTTAAAATAATTCTTAAAAATAAATTACTTTTATTCAAGAAGAAAAATAATTCATCTACTAATATTTATTATTGTTATTTTTAAATATTTTGATAATTATTAAAAATATTTGAATGAAATTTAATATAGCATACTTATTAAAGATTTTCATTTTTAAATAATTATTTTAAAAATATATATTTTTTAATTCAGTATGAAAAAATAAAATAGGTACATTGAGAATTAATTTTATTATTAAGGTTATCTTAGTAAATTTGGATAATGGCAGTAGAAGGTGCTGTGCAAAAGCAACCCTTGACCTGCTTCTCAAATTCTGTTGTTTGACAACAATTTTTAGAAGCTGTTGGACGAAAACAAGATTTAACAAACACCCCAACCTGCTGCAGCTTATTTAAAAAAGTTAAAAGTAGCCTCTAAAAGCAATGCCAAACGGGTCTAAAGTCATTTACATTCAATTAAAATATATTTTACTAACTAAATATCTTTCAATATTTTGTTTGGTCTTGATAAAAGGAACCGAAGAGAAACATGGAAGTGGAAGTAAAACATATGGTTGTTATACTGAAAATAATTTAGGATTCTCCAAATTGATGAAGATAAGCCTTTGCCTCCAAAGTAAGCAAGAGCTGTGTTTGTTACTCCGAAATTTCACATGGCTGGATTATATGTGCTGTTTGTTTCGTAGATTTGAACCAAAATTGAAACTTTTTTGCTACAATGTTTTCTCCCACAAAAATTTGAATTTCAGTTTAAACATTCAGTTTAAACCTATGAACCGTACAGACAAAGTCATTTACATTCAATTAAAATATATTTTACTAACTAAATATCTTTCAATATCTCGTCTGATCTTGATAAAAGGAACCAAAGAGAAACACGTAAAAGAAGACCCGAATCTTAAAAGAGAAACGGAAAAATATTAGGGTGAGACTAGAACCTGATCAGTTCGAAATAAAAATCCATTCTTGATAAAAGATGTATCGTATACTACATTACCTGCCAACTTCGCTCGGTGTACCAGTACCACCATAATCTCCTCCATATACACCTTGATAGACAATAGCTTGCTCTGCAACAAGTCATTCATAACTCATTATTCATGTATGCATTACGCTCAACTTCCAGTTGATAGAAAACAAAAGATCTGACTGTTCATTTGGTAAGCAAAATTTTCTTGATTGAGCCAAATTATTTTCCCATCAGTTAAAATGGAGGCAGGCCAAATACCAGTCTTAGAGCGACAAAAACTGTAAAATTTTATAAAAGGATCAACTTCTAGCTTTCCAAAACTTGTCTTCTCACTAAATAAATTCCAGAACTTCCAAGCAGAAATAGCTTAAAAGGAAGAAAAATACAGTTTTTCTCAACTCCTTTTTGCTTGATTGGCAAGAAAATGTCCTCAATTAAGCCAAACATTTTTACTAGGATAAGTCAAAAAAACATGTTTTTGTTTGTCTAAAAAAAAAATAAAAAAAAAATAAAACTAAAATAAAATCAGAGAATCAAGTTCACTTCTTTATAACATTGCCTCGGCAACTACGCCCATCTACAAAGGAATTCACAAAGCCAAGTAATCAAAGCAGAAATAGATTTTTAAAAAAGGAAAACAAATTTTTCTAAACTCCTTTTTATCAACAATGTCTCAGAAACCATGCCAATACATAATACAAGAATCAACAGAACCAAATACAATCAAACCAGAAATCGCCGAATTGAAAAAACAACAGAAAATTCAGGTACCGTTGCGGTGGGGCTCCGGAGAAGAGAGCAAAGCGGCGTGAAGTGAAGGCGAGTAGGCGTCGGAGACAGAAGAGGTCGGGAAGACAGAGCCAGGTCTTCTTCCCACGGACTGATAGGAACTCCATTTATCGTCGCTTTCCTTCTCTCCAGATTCGCTGCTTTGTCCTTCAATCGGCGATCAACAAATTCAGAATCCGCCGCAGAAGAAGAAAAGAGGAATTAAGGCATGGAATGGAATGGAAGTGAGAGTTGAGCTAGCTATACCTGAGAGAAGAGGCTCCTCCATAATAACGTCCTTTGTGTTGCTGTTGTTCGTTTGTGTTATGTGATTGTGAAGAAGATGGTGAGTATGAGAGGGGGGGGGGGGGCCAACTAATAATATGGGGAAAAAAAATAATTAATTTTGCTTAGCAATGAAGGAAATTTGGGTCAATTCAGCCTCGTTGTTGACGAATTTGGTTCCACACTATCCCCAATAACTCTCCTTGTTAAGACATTCGGGAGATGTTTAGTCAGAGTATTCATATCATGATTTAAATTATGATTCATAATTTATTATAATATTTTTTTTTATAAAAAATATATATAAATTAAAAATAATTTTAATCTCATTTTATTCAACCCAAAAGACAAAAAAAAAAAATAAAAATAAATAAATAAATAAATGATGTCCTGTCTTCATAACTTATTTTTGTGGAAGCTGCTAGTTGTAAACACGTGCTTTGCATGTGTAGGGGCTTTATTATAACTTTCATTATTATACTAGTTTTTATATTTATTTTAAAAAAAATTGTTTAAAGATAGTAATTGATGAAAAATTAAGTTGGGATACATTAGAAGAAAATTATTTTAACTAATTAAAAATTAAATAGAAATATATGTAAAAAATGCTACTCTTGTAGGAGCAAAATGATACCAAAAAAAAAAATGTAAAGAAAATAAAAAATAAATAAATGGAGGAATTCCCATGTAGCAACTTATAAAAAAGAATTTTAGCTCTTTTATATATTTTTATATGTATGCAGGAAAACAGAGAAAGGCAATAGACAAAAAGAAAAAAAGTCAAAAAATGGAAAAAGAAAAAAGAGAGAAAATTAATAAATTAAAAAAGGAAAGAAATGGGAGGTCAACATGTGACCTCCAAAGGCCAACACATAGCCTTCTTAGAAGTTAAATTTTTGTCTTTTTTAAGTATGTATAGATATAGACTAGTTTTGTGACGTGCTCTACACGTATTGTTGTGTTGAAGGTATATGAAAAGTTTATTATTTACCGAATAATGAGAAATTCATTTATACAACTAATTAATGATTTTTAGATTTATTCTAAAAAGGAATATGTGTAATGATAACAATTGACAAAAAAAAAAAAATTTAAGTAGAGACACATTTGAAGAAATTTGTTTTTAATCAACTAAAAAGAAAATAGAAACACATGTGAAAAAAATACTTTGATAAGAGTAAAGTGAGTAACAATATATTTTTAAAAAACACACAAAACATTAAAGTATAAAAAATACAAAAAAAAATGAAAAAAAAGATAAGTGAAGGGTTGCCACGTGGTAGCTCCATAGAAAATAGTTTTTGCTCTTTTTTGTATTGTTAGATATATTATGAATAATGTAAGGGATACCAACTCAAACATTAGCTCTTGTATAACAACTGATATGACATGTAAGTTGTCAATTTTTATATTAGTGGGTGTTCAAAATATTGCCACGTTAATTAATGATAAGACATTACATATACCAATAAATATATGACAACTCACATGCTATATAAATTAGTACAAAAAATTACAATTTGAGTTGGCGTACCTAATATTATTCTTATATTATTGTTATGAGTTTGTTATAAATTTTGGTACATAATGCATATAATGGATTTTTTCTTGTTAAAAATTATGAGAAAATTAGGGAAAAGATCTCTTTTTACCATTTTTTAATAAATGGCCAAATTTTGTTTTATTTTAAGGAAATAGTCATTTTTCTACAATACTCACTTAGTGATTCACCCATAATTAATAAGAGATGACCTATTTATTATCGATTTATCAATGGTTTAACAGTGATAAATTTATAATTTTAATCTTTTTATTTTTAATAAATTTAAAGTATTTTTTAAAATATGAGTTTTAAAAATTTTAGTTTCTAATTAATTAATGAGAAGAGCATATTTGAAATTTTATATTTAAAAAATTAACACGACGGTACTAAAAAGATTTTAAAACGTTGAGGTACATATTTAATATTATAAAAAATAAATAGTATCATACACATATTTCGGTATATCACACAACACTAAAATAATTTTTTTATCAAATTTCTTTAATAATTATTACTTTGAAAGTTTTGTTATCCTCTTATCAAGATTTTATGGGCCGGATTTTTTAAAAAAAAAGAGTTATTTAAGTAGACATTTTTAAATTCAGGACTTTTTTTTTTTTTTTGAAACAGGAAAACATCAATTAGATTAAGTAGCCAAATCGGCAAGCATAACAGAAGATACAAAATAAGGGATCATATGAACCCCAACAAAGTCCTGTATACAACTAAATTCAAAAGAAGCTAAAACATGAGCAACTTTATTACCACTTCTATTTATATGAGAGCACTTTCCCCTCCCCATAGAGGATAATAACCGAACAATATCCTCTATAATAACGCCTTCTTCGCCCATCGTTGAGCTTTCCTTAACCGCTTGAACTACACAGACAGCATCAAATTCAGCCACGCTGATGAAGAACCCCCGCTCTTGTGCGAAAATAAGACCTTCCCGAAGGGCCATGCATTCAGCTAAAAACGGTGAGAAAGATCCCGCAATCCTCTTTACCAGGCAAGCACATACTATTCCATCCCCATCCCTGATGACAACACCTATTCCAATGGAGCTCGTACCCTCTCGAACTGACGCATCAGTATTAAGCTTGAAAAGTCCAGCCACCGGAGGTTTCCAGCGTACTTTACTAACAGGCACCGTAGTCCGATGTTTGGCCGCCGGATTACAACAGCTCTGAAACTCAGCAATTATCCGCCCAGTTTTTCCTAGGATATCCGTCGGCTCCCGATATAGTCGGTGATGGATAAATTGGTTCCGAGCCGCCCAAATCGTCCACGCCAGTACACAGAAAATTTCAAGGTCCTCTTCAGTTGCTACATTGCTAAACATGACACACAGAGCTTCAAAACCTCCAGCTTTGAGAGGTTTTAACTTGTGCCAAAAGGCACTCACTTCCCACACTTGAATAACAGTAGAGCACATCCAAAGAGCATGCCAAATAGATTCATCCTCCTCACCATAGTGCTGACATCTCGTTGCACAATTAATCCCCCTCCGCACTAAATTGGCAAAGGTTGGTAAGAAACCCGAAATTGTCCTCCACATGAAGTTCTTGATCTTGTTAGGAATATGAAGATCCCACAGTTTCCTCCACCACACACTATCCCCTCTTCCTCCAGAGCTACTAGCCGAATTTCTTAGACTCATGGCAAGCTTGTAGCCCGCACGAACGGAATAGAGCCCCTTAGAATCATAATCCCACACCTAGAGATCTTCACTAGAGCCACAACTCAAATACATGTTGAGAATAATTTCTTGATCAATAGGGAGAAAAATATGACGAATAAGCTCCCAGTTCCATTGCCTATTGATAATATGATCCTCCACCAACCAATCTTCAGTTTCCTCAGTCACTGCCGTAATTGGACGAAAAGAATGAGGTATAGGGATCCAAAGGTCCCTAAAACATCGAATGGATTTCCCGGAACCAACACGTCTACGAATGCCACCTTTCAACAGTTCTCGTCCCCATAATATACTACGCCAAGTATATGAGGGGTTATGTCCAATGTTAGCATCAAGAAAATTTTCCCTTGGAAAATACTTAGCCATAAAAATCATGGCAACAAGGGAGGAAGGTTTTGAAAGGATTCGCCAACACTGCTTCGCTAGAAGTGCTTGATTAAACGCACCCACATCACGGAAGCCCATACTCCACTTTCTCTTAGGACGACATAATAGCTCCCACTTTACCCAACGGATCTTCTTATCAGTGTCATTGCCGCCCCACCAGAACCATGAAATCATAGCTTGAATCTCCTGATAGAGAGCTTGAGGGATCCGAAAGACACCCAAGGTATACGTGGTAGTAGCTTGAGCCACAACTTTAATCAAGATTTCCCTTCCAGCCATAGAGAATAGCCTCCCTCTCCAAAGCGTAAGCTTCTTAAAAACATTATCCTTGACTGCATTAAAAGTAGCCCGTTTATTCCTACCGACAAAAGAGGGCAGCCTGAGGTACTTATCATAAGAGAGATTATTCTCATCAAGCCGCAAACACCCCTTAACCTCATCTTTTGACTCCTCCCTAGTGTTGGGACTACAAGTAATTTTTGACTTAGCAAAATTGATCACTTGCCCTGAAGCTTTCGCATACATTTCAAGGATCTCCATAATTGTCCTTGCATCATCTCTCCTAGCTTTCCCAAAAATGATGGAGTCATCGGCGAAGAGGAGATGGCTTACCTTTGGCGCTCCGCGAGCAACTGCAATCCCTGCTAACCTCTCAGAAACCCCCACTTGCTTGAGTAATGCAGTAAGCCCTTCCGCACATAGAAGAAATAAGTAAGGTGAAATAGGGCAACCTTGGCGAAGCCCCCGGCTTGGCCGAATCGAACAGTGAGATTCATTGCCCATCATAAAGGGAAGACTAGTTGAGGAGACACATTTCATGATAAACCCTCGAAAACGTTGCCCAAACCCAACTTTCTCCATCATCCCTTCAAGGAAAGGCCACTCAACTCTATCATAGGCCTTACTCATATCAAGTTTTATCCCCATGAAGCCCACATTGCCGCTAACCATACGTCGGATCGAACGGAGGATCTCAAAAGCCACAAGCACATTGTCAGTAATTAGCCGACCTGGGATGAAAGCACTTTGTTCTTGAGAGATAACTAATGGGAGAACGCATTTCAATCGATTAGCCAAAGCCTTGGAAATAACCTTGTAAGAGACATTACAAAGGCTTATTGGTCGATAATCTGACACCCTCCTTACTTCCTTAATCTTCGGAATAAGAACAACATTAGTCGCATTCATGTTTTGGAAAGAGGCATCATCATTGAGAACCCGCAAGCACATATTAGTTAAGTCATCTCCTACAATATCCCAATTCTTTTGATAAAACGCCGCATGGAATCCATCCGGTCCCGGGGCTTTGGTAGGTCCCATAGCAAAGAGAGCTTGATGGATCTCCTTCCTCGTGAAAGGCTCCTCCAACATAGAGCACATTTCAAGAGATAAACGAGAGGTCACTGCTTGTGTTACAGACTCTATATCCACATAATTCGGCAAGGACGACGTGAAAATCTCAGCGAAATAGTTTTTGATCTCTTCAACAACCTTATGGTCACTCATCACCCATCTCTTATCACTCTTCTCACGACCCTTAATTTCATTCTTCTTCTTCCTTTGAGAAGCTTTTGAGTGAAAA